CATAACTGTACATTCATAATTCCATAACTGTACATTCATAATTCCACAAACGAATAACGCCATTAACAGCGACAAAAAAAAAAAAAAAAAAAAAAAAAAAAAAAAAAAAAAAAAAAAACTGGAAGGCCGCTTTTTCCCTTAAAACGACGTCGTTTTGGACTCGTGTCCACAATGCATTGTGGACACGAGTCCACAGCATAATTTGCGACTATAAACCGTGTAGGCCATCAGATAAATCGGAGCAAAAGGTCCAGTCCACGGCTCTTCGTTCAGATCTACTCCGAACACTTTGCTTTGGTTTGGTTTCAGAACTTGAACCTCCGCAAAGTACATGTAAACGTAATATTTGTCCGCCAAGTTTTGTGCCTCCCAAGAGAAGCTTAGCCCGCTACTTGCGTTCTCCGGCACCACCGCCACTCTCATCACCTCGAACAGCGGTCGGAAAACGTTAAAAACCTTGGTCGAGTCGACGTCTAGAGAAGTGCTTATTCCGGAAAATGGGAATCGACCGGAGGGCCGGTGGTGGTTGTGGATACCGCGACGGAGAAGGAGGGGAATGGTAGAGGCACAGTGGAGCCTGTGGTGGTGGATCGCCGGAGCACATCTCCGGTGGCGGAGGAGCGGGTGATTGCGGAGAGGAGAATGAACATACTGTGAATGAGGCGGTTGAGGAGGAAGGTTCTAGACCATGAGCTAGTGAAATTCCTTTATTACCCTCGACTTTAACAGATCTTAGACCCTAAACCTAACAGAGGACCATATTGGTTAACATTTACAAAGTCAAGGACTTTATTGAAAAAAAATAATCGATGACTAAATTGGTAATTTCACAATAGTCAAGGGACCATTTTGGTAATTAACTCTTGTTACAATTACACAAGGAGAAAGTACACTTCTAGTCTTTTAAATATTTTAATTATTTTGGATGTTAAGGGTCCATATGTGTTCACTTTACAATTAAGAGGTCATATCTATAATGATAGAGATAATTAAGAGACAAAATGTGTTTATTTTATAATTAAAGGGTCAAATTTCAACATATAAAATAATCAAGGGACCTATAATGTAATTTTCTCTTTATACAAATATTCATGTTGAAAAGTTGAAATACGAAAAATGAAAAAGTGAAAACTCCCAAAATTGTTTCTTTTTGCAAGAGAAAAGATCTAATTTTGTTAAAAAAATTATGTGGGTGTTTGGTTTATGGGTTTTGAACTTTCCTAATAGATTTAAATCCAATTAGTTTAATTTACTAAATTTTTCACTTTGAATTGAGATTCAAATCATGAAGGAATGAAAAAGTTATTATAGTATAAAATCTCACTTTTGTTTCTTAAAAGGAAAAACATCAAATTTTTGGTCCCTCCACTATTTTCTTTATGCAATTTAATCTTTTGGTCAATTTTTAAACAATCAGTCCCTCAATTGTTCTAAGTGTCACCAATTTAGCCCCTCAGTTAATTACATTGTCTTTAAACATTCTTTAGTTTAAAAATTTTGCTTGGATCTTTTTTGGGAAACTTCACACACAACTCTAAATTTACTTTCATACCTCAATCTATATTCCTTGTTAGTATCACCTTGCAATGCTAATTATTTCATATGATTTTCACCACACTTCAAACCCAACAATGGTAGAGGTAATTAAAGGTCAAAATGTGTTTATTTTATAATCAAGGGACCAAATTCAACATATAAAATAATTAAGGGACCTAAAGTGTGATTTTCTATTTGCACAAATGTTCATGTTGAAAGTAGAAAATAGAAATATAAAAAATTGAAAAAAATAAAAGGCAAAAATCTCAAAACAATTGAGTGACAACGAGTAAAATAGCCACGCAAGCACCACGCAATGTCCTGACCGTTCTTATATAACCTTTGTCGAACATCAATGTTAAATCAGAGACACATATGCAAAAGAGTGAGTGAACTTAAATTCTTGGCAATCTACTGTGCAACCTCAAAAACATAGATAGTCTTGCTACGGTTTTTTGTTAAACCAGTGTTTTGTAGGTTCCCATTTTCGTCCAATATTCAACTTTTTTGCTAGATTTTGCTTTGATTTATCTCATTGATGTTTGATTATTCTTTATTCTCTTGGTGATCTATTTGTAGGAATATCTTCTGAATTTTGATTCCTGGTTGTTTTAAAATTCTTGCTTTTTGTTTTTAGATCTGACGACTATATATAGGATTTTTTTTTTCTACTTTTTGTTGCAGAAGACTACTTTTTGGTTCTGCACTTGCGTTGAAACACAAAGGTATGGTGATTTTCTTTGTTTTTCTAATATAATGTTTCAAAATTTTTGTTGTGAATGTATGTGCTTTGAATTTCTTGTTTATCGGTTGAAATAAAATTGTTTCTTTTTGTAAGAGAAAAGATATGATTTTGTTAAAAAATTTCTGTGGGTGTTTGGTTTATGGGTTTTGAACTCTCCTGATAGATTTACCTTGTTTATTTTACTAGTTTTTTCACTTTGAATTGAGATTCAAATCATGAAGGAATGAAAATTTTTATTTTCGTATAAATCCCACTTTTGTTTCTTGAAAGGAAAAAATTGAACTTTTGGTCCCTCCACTATTTTCTTTATGCAATTTAGTCCATTGATCACGGTCAATTTTTAAACAATCAGTCTCTCATTTATTTTAAGTATCACCGATTTAGCCCCTCAGTTAATTACATTATCTTTAAACTTTCTTTAGTTTCAAGATTTTGCTTGAATCTTTTTTGTGAAACTTCATACACAACTCTGAATTTTCTTTCATACCTCAATCTATATTCCTTGTTAGTATCACTTGCAATGTTAATTATTTCATATGGTTTTCACCACGCTTCAAACCCTAAGCAAGGGTGAAAATCATATGAAATTAATAAGGCAACTAATACTAATGATGCATATGGGTTGCTTTATGAAGGGAAATTGAGAACTGTGTAAAAATATTTTTTAAAAAAAATAAGGAAAACCTAAAAACCAACGAAAGTTTAACAAATATTCAAAAGATGGAATTGACAACGTTTGGAACAATTGGTGAATTGGTAAAGTAAATTTCATAAATTTGACAATGATGAATAAATTGTATAACGTATAATAAATGAAAAACTAAATTGTAATTTTCCTTTCTTTAAATGAAAAAGAAATAAAATTTCACCTTGTTTTCCAGTCTCATAGATATATTTATTTTTATTTATATAAGTTCCAAACTTATGTACACTAAAAAATAAAAAAGTCTATTACGTTCTAATTACTAAATATTTAATTCAGATTTCAATATTTCAACCAAATTACCCTTCTTTTCTCTATTTATTGTGTATCTAGCTTACCATTTGTTGTTGCATTGGCAAACTGGGAAAAACAATTCTGAAAATCTCAAAACAATTGAGTGACAACCACTACAAATGCACGCAAACACCACGCTATGGTGTGACAGCCCTTATATAACCTTTATTGAACATCAATGTTAAAGCAGAGACACATATGCAAAAGAGCGAGTGAACTTATATTCTTGTCAATCTACTATGCAACCTCAAAAACAGAAACAATCTTGCTACGATTTTTTGCTAAAACAATGTTTTGTAAGTTTTCATTTTCGTCCAATATTCAATTTTTGCTAGATTTTTCTTTGATTTATCCCATTGATGTTTGGTTATTCTTTATTTCTCTTGGTGATCTATTTGTAAGAGTACCTTCTGGATTTCAACTCCTTGTCCGGTTATTTTAAAATTCTTGTCTTTTGTTTTTATATTTGACTATATATAAGAATTTTTCTTTATGAACATTTTTTTTTTTTTACTTTTTGTTGCAGAGAGGACTACTTTTTGATTCTATACTTGCATTGAAACGAAAAGGTGTGGTGGTTTTTTTTTTTTCATATATAATTTTTCCAATATAATTTTTGTTCTATCCAAATTAGATCTTATGTTGCACCCCTTTCTTGTCTAAACGTGTAGTGAATATATGTGTTTTGAATTTCTTGGTCATCGGTTGAAATAAAATTATTTCCTTTTGTAAGAAAAAAGATATTATATTGTTAAAATTTTTCTTTGGGTGCATGTTTGGTTTATGGGTTTTGAACTCTACTAATTTTTTTCACTTTGAATTGGGATTCAAATCATAAAGGAATGAAAACAAGTTATTCTCATATAGAATCTCACTTTTGTTTCTTAAAAGGAAAAATTCAAACTTTTGGTCCCTCCAGTATTGTCCCTTATCCAATTTATTAGTTCCTAAGTCAATTAAAAAAAAAATCAATTCCTCAATTATTCTAAGTGTCGTCAATTTTTGACCCCTCAGTTAATTACGTTGTCTTTAAACTTTCATTAGTTTCAAGAGTTTGCTAGCATTTTTTTTTTAAAGAACTTCGATCACATGCGAATGTACAACTCTCAATTTCCCTTCATAAGTCAATTCATATTCCTCGTTAGTATCAATTACAATGCTAATTATTTCATATGATTTTCACCACGCTTCAAACCCTAAGCAAGGGTGAAAATCAAATGAAATTAATAAGGCAACTAATACTAGTGATGCATATGGGTTGCCTATGAAGAGAAATTTAGAATTGTGTAAACTTTTTTTTTTTTATTTTAAAAACGCTAAAACCAATGAAAATTTAACAAATAGTCAAAGAATGGAATTGATAAACTAAATTTCATAAATTTAACAATGATGAATAAAATTTGTAACGTATGAGGAAAAAATTGAAAAAGAAATGAAATTCCTCCTTGTTTTCCTCCCCTCTCTCTCTCACACATATATATATACCCCTCTCTCTCACACACACACACACATATATATATATATATAGTATAAGTTTCAAACTTATGTACACTTACAAAATAAAAAGTCTACTTTAGTACGTTTCAATTACTAAATATTTAATTCAGATTTCAATATTCCAACGAAATTACCCCTCTTTCTCTATTTATTGTGTATATCTAGCTTACCATTTGTTGTTGCATTGGCAATTCCAGCTAAAAACTTCAATTCTTTCCAACAAAAATGGCTGACCAAAGAGCAAAACAAGCTGGTGATAGCAATGAGGAATCATTGCAGGTTTTCCCCGCTGTGAATGACAGAAAGGGGAAGAGGAAGGTGGTGGAGTTTCCATCAGACCGGGCCAAGAATTCATCTTCATCTTCCACAGAGCTAAGGAGTTGTGAGTTGAATGAGAGATCAGATCAATCCGATGCGAAAGAGTGGCCGGAAGAAAAAACACCACTTTATGAATGGGAAGACCCCATGGCAGTAGAGCTGGAGAAGCTCCTAATCCCAAGCATAAAGAAAGCCATCCTGATTGTGATCAAGAAAATCGTAGAATGTGGGTTCTCAGAGGAGGTTGCTGAATGGGGTGTGTTTAACAGTGGCGCTTACCAAGGCTATTTGGACATCATATCCAACATGTTCAATAGTGCTTGGGCTTTCCTGGCTTGTTGCAAGAAGGAGGATTTCGATTCCGCCATTCCATTGTTTGATGGAATAGAAAGCTTATCAGGTTATATCCTCCTGGAAATGGTGTGTGTGCTTAAAGAGGTTAAGCCATTCTTGAGTGTGGCAGATGCAATGTGGCTCCTTTTGATATGTGATCTCAACTTGCTTAAGGCTGTGGAACATGGCACTGTGAACCCGAATCCAGTCCTGTGCTCCTGCTGCACCTCCAAGGCTTCCCAATGCAAAAACGAAACTCCAAAAGGTAGCCATTTAGCTATTTTAAGTCCTCGATCAGAGCTTATAGTTTATTTTAAGTTACTAATAAGTTATAAGCTCTGTTTGGTAATGTTCCGAAAATAGTAGCTTCATAACTTTTTTTTTTGGTTATCCTTTATTGTTTTAAATAAAATGACATCATTTACCAATCCCAATTAGCAGATAGCAGTAGAGCTAGTGATGTGTCTGCACCTGAAGCCAGTGGTTCTGGCAGAAAGGGATCATCCGGGCTTCGCAAGAAGGTGTATCGAACTGAGACGAATAGCAAAGGTGGTAAGAGGAGAGGGGGCCGGTTTATAACCAGAACCAGAATGACCACTTCGATTGATGTGACTGTGAGCAAGCCACTGATCTCTCAGCCTGTTAGCTCTTCTGGTGGGAAGAAGGAGAAAGGTGGAGTTGTTTCTGTTTCTTCACTGCCTGCTGTGACCTCCAAGGCTGCAGCAATGGTGAAACAAGAAAGTAAGCTGCCAATTTGGAAACCCCCGGGCCCTTCTGCTGTTCCATCTTCTGTCCATATGACTGAGAAAGACGAGAGGATAATGGCGTTGATGGTGCGCAAGCAACTTCTGCAGCAGGAGCTACAAGGGTGGAACGATTGGGCGAGTGTGAAGGTCCGGGAGGCGGCTCAGAAGCTCAGCAAGGACAAGGCGGAGCTGAGAAAGTTAAGGCAAGAGAGAGAGGAGGCTGCCAACTTTGAAGCATTAATGGATGAGAAGATTAAGCAGAGGCAATCTGAGTTGCGGGGTGAACTGTCTGATCTTCAAGCCCAGATGGGAGCGAGTAATTCTGCTGTCCAAAGGCTCGAGGCAGAACGTGCCAAGCTGGTGAAAGGGATTGCAGATTCAGAGATGAAAAATGCACAGTCTTATTTAACTCTCGAGGAAACTGTGGGGAGGGAGCAGGAGTTGCTGAAACAATGTCAAACGCTGGAGGGGGAGGCTAGCTCTCTGCAGGAATATCTTGCACGTCTGAATGGCGAAGCAGCTAGCTTGCAGGCCGGGATAGAGAAAGCTAGAAAGCGCGAAGGGGAGTTTGAGGTATGCTTAGGGTTCATAAGGCCATGGTTAGACTAGCTAATTGGTTGGATTCAATCTTTTAATATGGTTTGACTCATGTGGAGTGACCCTAGCCCAATCTTTGTTTATAACAGTTCTGTATAATTATGGCTATTTCAGGCTCTCAGGCAGCACGAAGAGAGGGAGAAGATAAAGATTCTCCAGAAGCTCGAGTCCATAAGGAGTGAAAGAGAACAACTGAACTGTCAGGCAAAAGGCGAGGAGGGTAATTTGAGAGCAATAGCAGTAGCCAACAGGCTGGAGTACGAGGAACGCAAGAGCAAGGTGATTGCAGAAATCTTTGCTCTAAGGGCTAACCCGGGCCAGGGAGGTGTGAAACGCGAATGGGAATGCATTATGTGCTTGAGTAAGGCAACCTCAGTTCTGTTCCTCCCTTGTGCTCATCAGGTTCTGTGCAAAGACTGCAATACGCTTCACGAGAACCCAGGAATGAAGGACTGTCCTTCTTGCAGAACGACAATCGTGCAGCGAATCCATGTCCGTTTCCCCCCTCGCATACCACACTGAAGAGCAGTTGAAAGTGATCCAGCTTATATGTTCTGTCTTCATCTCTATTTTCATTCAGACTTGAAAAAAAAAAAAAACAGTTGTTTGAGCTTCAGGATTTCGTATTTTAAACTTGGTTTCGTATTTGATGTCTTACCTTATAGATTGAGACAGCATGGTATTATGGAAGTTTACTGTGAGGAATTGAAACATTGATTAAATTCTTGGTTGAGTTTGCTAATCCCTTAAGGCATCTGTCACCCCAATCATTACCATTCTTGTAATCATGGCATCTAAGTTCCCCAGAAATTACTCCAATTATCTCTATCATATTCCTTTTTATTTACTAATACTATGTTGTATTGTCATGGAATTTCTGGGACATGTCACAACCAAATGATAACTTCTAAGAAGACAAAAATGGGAAAAAAATTATCTTTTTTGTGTTGTAATTTTTGATGTTTTTTTTTTTCTTGGTTGGTGGGGGTAGGGTAAGTTAGGCAGCTTGTAGTTGAAGGAAAAATGACATGCACAGTTTACATGGCGTGCTCTGAAAGAGAGAGAGGAGGGATTTATGAAAGTATACTTAGAATCCAAATTTACCCTTTCCCTTTTTCTATCCCCAGATTGGAGTACTCAAAAAGATGGATAAAAAGGCTGAAATCTCAAGAAATATATATTAATCGTTCGGACACAAGGACCACTTACACCATGCAGGAGAATCTGTGATTCAGTGTCAAAGGTATTTGCTTTCTTGTTTTCTGGTGGGGTTGTTCTTAGTTTTGTGGTCACCTATTCTGATCTGTATTCTTGAAATTCTAAAGGTTCTTTCTTTGAATCCATTTTTGATTTCGGGTTCTTTTTTTCTAATGTTTTATTGGTCAGTACAAGTGTTCCTTGATTAGTTTTTCATCATCTGTTATGTGAAAGCTGCTTCTTTGTTCTTGGCCTGGTGAATTTGCCCAGTTTTCGTGTTCTTGGACTGGACTGGACTGAAGATGGTGAATGAGAACTCTCCGGATACAGTTCTTGAGGACTACCTGAATGGTTTAGTATCAGAAACAGACACTACAAAGAGCAGCATATTGGAATTTGAATCGGAGAGTTACGAAAAGAGGAATTCGAAATGGGATGGGTTTCTTCAGCTGTTGAGGGATAAATTCAAGAAGAGGCATTTCGGGAGCTTGGATCCTCTGAGTTCTTTGAAAATCTCGAAACGATTTAGCTGCAGCATGAGGGAGGCAGCTTGTGGTTCTGGGCTGTTGCAGAGCCCCATTTTGGAGGGTGGTTTGAGCTATTTCAAGCCTCAGTGGAAGAACTTCAGCCTGTCTGAGATCGAGATCGCCACCAACAATTTTCACCATGGTTAGTAGTGTTGAGCCATTACTGAGATGGAGCACATGCTTCAATTTGGTATCAGAACCATGCCAAAGGACACGTGAGGGGGCGTGTTGAGCCATTACTGTGCAATCCAACTATCAGCTTAGCCTTTTAGTTGAGATGGAACACATGCTTCAATTAGTAGCACTCTTAATTCCTTAAAATTTTCAAAAACTGCCTTTTATCTACTTATGGATCATCCACATGTTCTGCAGAAAACTTAATTGGGAAAGGCGGCTATGCTGAAGTTCACAAAGGGCGTTTGCGAGATGGACAACTAGTTGCAGTTAAGCGTTTGACTCGAGGATCACCCGAGGAGAGGATAGGGGATTTCTTATCTGAGCTTGGCATAATGGCTCATCTTAACCATCCAAATACTACCAAGTTGATTGGCTATGGAGTTGAAGGTGGATACTATCTTGTTCTCGAGCTGTCTCCTCATGGAAGCTTAGCTTCTATGCTGCATGGTATTCGTTGCAGCCCTAAATTTCTCCCTTTCGTATTGTCTATTCTTTTGTTGATTTATCTCTCCACTGTTTTCAGTCTCGAAGCAGAAACCGGGATGGTATATCAGGTATAAGGTTGCACTAGGCACAGCTAAAGGGCTGCAGTATCTTCACGAGGGCTGTCAACGACGAATCATTCATAGAGATATTAAAGCCGCAAATATATTGCTTATGGAGGACTTTGAGCCTCGGGTACTTACCAGTTTACCATTATCTTTTCTCTTTATGCATTCAAAAACCAGACTAGTTTATATCTGTTGAGTTTGTCTCATACCAGGAATAGGAATATGAGTGAAGCGGTTTGGGTTAGACTCATTGTATAGGGATTAAGAATTAGTTGTTTTTTGCATTCAGATTTGTGATTTTGGGCTTGCAAAGTGGCTCCCGGAGAGATGGACTCACCTGACTGTCCTGAAATTCGATGGCACATTCGGGTCTGCAACACGAGACAATACAATAAACTCGAATTTCTCAATGTCTGCAATAAGATTTACACGTCGCTAAGTGAAAGCATTACTGTCATTGCAGATATCTTGCACCCGAGTTTCTAATGCATGGTATAGTGAATGAAAAGACTGATGTTTTCGCCTTTGGGGTGCTTCTTTTGGAGCTCATTACCGGGCGTCGAGCGTTAGATTACTCTCAGCAAAGCCTCGTAATGTGGGTATGCATTATCTCCCCTCCCCTCGGGCTCTCATCGTTTCATTTCACTTCATATCCCACACTGCATTTGAAGGTGTTCATTATTTCTGTCTGCTAGGCAAAGCCTCTGCTAAAGAAAAAGAGGATTAGGGAACTTGCAGATCCATCACTCGGAGACGACTACAACCTTCTGCAGATGAATCTCATGGTCTTGGCCGCTTCGTTATGCGTGCAGCATTCGTCCATCAAACGCCCACAAATCAGCCAGGCAAGTTATCCTAAGATTGACAGAACCATTAAGGAATCTTTAGTTACTATCATATGTTTATGTTCTTGAAGTGCAATAATGCTTACAGGTTCTGCAACTTCTGAATGGCAACTGTGAAAGCCTAGACTATATCAGAAAAAACCGAAAACCATCCCCCATTAGAAGGGCTGCTATGAAGGAAAAAACATAGCCTAAACGGTTTTTGTGCCTTGAAGAACATATTGTTATTCTGCAGAATGGTTAAGATGATAATGGGAAGGAGGGATGTCTCATTCCTTTGGTGTAAATACTTATTTTTTGTTTTTGTTTTTGACCATTTCTTTCCACCAATTTAGTGCCAATATGTTGTCCAACCATGAACCTATGTAACATAAAGAACCACTTATTTTTTTGAGCAGATAAGTCCACTAAAAGATGATAATCTTCGTCTTCTTCTGCAGATTGCAGATATGAGGATAAAGATTCTGTATTCTCATATGCATTATATTAGAAGCAATAACTAAAGAGAGAGGCACCATGGTAGGCAAAAGTTGAGGTTGACTTGTGTTGATGTAAGTGGAGATTCTTAGTGGTCAACTAAGGTAGACAAAAGTTGGGTACTATGATAAAGAAAACGGCTGAGGTGGATTACAATGTCAAAAAGATAACAAACATTAAGGAAAAAGGTTGCATTGAGGATTCTCCAACTGCCCATCAAATCTCATTTTAAATTCCAAAAGTCCAACTCACAAAGGGGTGGAGGAAATCTTGCAGCCATGGCCAATTAACAATTTATAAGACGACAATGCTCCATGACAAACCATATAGTTCATACAATTCATTTCAATAGATAAATGGTTGATATTGACAAGAACCAGAAACAATAATAATGTCAGACACTCTAATTCCTGTATTTTAGGTCTAACCCAATTCGCTCCACTCATATTCCTTATATGAGAAAGACTCATATTTCTAATTCTATATGAGACAAATTCAACAATCCAGAAATATATCCTTTTAGGATAAAATAGTTATCTCACCATCTCCATATTGGTGAATATCTTCTTTAGGATAAAAGAATTCAACAAAATCTCCACCTTAATGAATATGTCGCTTAGGAGAAAAGACTTTATCTCATATATACGTAGGGACGGAGCCAAAGGGGGACAAAGCCAAACTGCCATTATGAATGCATAACTTAACTTAATACATGAATTTTTAGCTCACTGAATCATTGACTTGTATTTATTACAAGCATCTATACATTAGCAATCTATTTACCAACTTCACCAAATTAATAGGTTTGTCAATTTGTGTCCACTATCCATCAACGGTTTACACTCTTATTTTACTCTATACTTCTTGATATGTTGATTAGTCATCATGTTAAGGAGTAACTCATTTTCTTCTTCTACTTGTTTTTTATTTATCCAATTAATGTAAGTCACATGATAAGAATATATGACATCAATGGTAGAATTTAACATTTTCTCTATATTTGATTGTTAGTAATAGCATTGGTTGTTGGATTTAGGTTGTGCAGATCCATTTGGCCAAATGTTTTTGTCTTCTTTGCCTTTCTATGGGGTTGGGCTGCCCAATCACAACAACAAAAATAAAAATGAAAATTCAACAAATAAAAGAGCTATTGAAGTGAAGGTGTATTTACCATAGTGGCCACTAGTGCTAGTTATCATCCTCCCATTTAAGGGGCTCACAAAGTCACAAACTTTTCAAAGTCAATTCTTTCTTTCCAGCAGTCATTGTCATTTCAAAGTCAATCTCAACTTCTTGTCATCTCATCACCAAACGGACATATATATATATATATATATATATGCTTCGATTCCGACTGCGAAGTCTGCATAAGTACTAAAACCATAACCTATAAGCTAAGCAAATCAGCCATGGAAGTTGTAGGACAGCTTCAGAAACAGTTTGTTGCGTTCATGACTTCCCTGTATCGTGAGGTCAGTGCCTCGCTCGACTCTGCAACAGTTCCAAGATTCTATTTTTCATAATTTTTCACCATTTTAGTGATGTGGGTTTTTGTGTTAAAGGGTTTCTGATTCTGGGTTGGTGTTGTTTCCCTGTTTTGAACCAAAAAAAATAAAAAATTAGGGCTTTTTGGATGATCAGTTTCTGCAGCTTCAGAAACTGCAAGATCAGAGCAACCCAGATTTTGTGGTTGAAGTCGTTTCGCTTTTCTTTGAGGATTCTGAGAAGCTTATCAATAATATGGCCAATGCCCTGTGAGAATAGCTTCTGCCTTTAATTTCTCTTGAATATCTCTTTTTCTGCCTTGTTAAAATAGGTATTTTGAGTTTAAAAAGTGTGTTTTTTTACAGCCAGCAACAAGTTGTAGATTTTAAGCAGGTTGATGCCCATGTCCACCAGCTCAAAGGTAGCAGTTCCAGGTACATATCCTTGGACTATTTGTCTTTGATTCTTAATCATTTGCTGTTTATGCTATTTTTGTCTGAGAGATTTCTTCAGCTGGTTAGTAGTCATATGAAGTTGGGAATAATTAATTGATGCTAATATCAATCTCCTAAATTGAACATTTAGTAATGAAGTGATAATACTTCATATAAACTGCTGTTTTTGAACTGTTTCATTGGTTTTCCTCAGCATAGGTGCACAAAGAGTAAAGAACGCTTGTGTTTCGTTCAAGAACCATTGCGAGGAGAGGAGCCTTGACGGGTGAGTTTTGCTTAATCCATTTCCTTCTTTAATGCTTGTAAGCTTTCGGGATATTAGGAGAAAACAGCACGAATCAAATTGACTGCCAAGTTCTTATTACTGTCAAGTGGCATAGTAGTGTTGATCGAGCTATCTTGGGTTAATAATGAACCCTGCATCCTTTAGCAATGGACACTATACTGAGTCGGTATGTACAAGTACGAGTACGATGTTGATAAGAGTGGATTATATGTTATTCTTCATTCTTGCATTTCATGGGAAGAACGAGTACGATATTGATAACATTAGCTTTTTGAGAAAAGAAATTATACCAAACAGCTATCAGCTAACAGCCAATTTACCAAACACTTTTCTACAATCAGCTAATGTTACCAACTATTTATACTCTCTAATTAACACAATCAGCTAACAGCTAACAACCATTTTACCAAACAGGGCTATATGTTACGTGATGCTTTAATAAGTACTAATACTTTCTGTGCAGATGCGTGAGGTGTCTGCAAGTTCTGAAAAACGAATACTTTCTTGTCAAGAACAAGCTCGAAACCTTGATAAGAGTACGTGCTATTTCAAGAACCATAATCTTACATTCTTGCTTATCGAATGCATGAATAATTATCTTATATATTTGCTAGGGGTAATTTTCGTGGCAAAAGAAGTGCGTTATACTGCTTATTCGACATTCTTGATTTCCATATTTCATCTTGTATAGTTTTATACGATCTCTGGAAAGCTGGAACTAAACTTTTGACGAGATTGCGTTATTTCCTTTCAACTTTATTCTTGTGTTCGATTGCAGCTTGAACACCAAATCGTGGCTGCTGGTGGCACAATACCATTGTTGTCTTGAAACCTTATTTTGGGCAGGCACGACGCCACGAAGATTTTCTATATGCTACGACTGTTAGCTAGGCTCTGATAGATCGTAGAAGCACATCCAAGGGAATACCGGGTCTTGTCATTCGTCGTTCCCTCGAATTTAGTTTGTTAGTATTGAACTTAATACCGGTTTTAGCTCGACGTTGTGGTATGTTATTAGTCCATATATGGCTCCGTGCTATATATATATGTGTGTGCACGAGCGTGCAGTGAGAGCTTCTATGTTTGTTTTGTAATTGGATATGAGGAACTGTTAATGTTGGTTATGCATGATGTTTATATTAGTAGTGCAATTATATTAAAGTGTGATGAAGCTCCCTTTGCTATGGAATAGAATAAATAGAGTTGGGGGCCCCAAATGCTCTGTCGGGCCAGGATATGGGTCCGGGTGATATGGCCCGCTTGAGTCGACAGAATTTAACATTTTTCCGCTCGAAGCGTTTTCTTAAGTTTCTCATCATTAGTACTACATGTTTTAGTGTATGATATGATGTTGAAGGCTTTATTAGTTATACACTTTGAGATATTTGGTATAATTTGTCTCTAATTGTACACTGTTTACTGTGTTTGATTAGAGCCAATCTTGGATTTTTTTTAAAGCAGAATTTTGTACTTTTAGTTGTCGTGTCCCTCTTTCCTTAACAGCAAGAACATATGTATATGTTAGTCACATTTTTTGCTTTGTGTCTTTTGTCCAACTTTGTCTCTCCAAAGCAATTAAGGGAAAAGATAGATGTACAAATTACAATAAAATTTAATATGTTTGAACTTGAAATTTTTAAAGAGTCCCTCACTATTTTGGAAATCAATGAATGAGATAAATTATAGGATGTGTCTTAATTGACCTACATACTCCTAAATATTTATACACTAATACCCGCAATAAAGCTAAATTCATACCTTTTTTTGGGTCCTTGATATGATTTACGATACAATTTAACAAATTTAGTATGAATAACTGTACCGTTAGTGAGACTCGATCATAAGTCATTGTTTCTAAATTTCACCTGATACCGTAAATAGGGGTATACGTAGAGTACCCCGCAGGTGCTACGGACGGAGTAATGAAGCTCGGGGTTCCCAATAGTGGGTCGGGAGGCTCGGTTCAATTAAATGCCAAAAGTCCCATCTTAGTTCCAATAAATGCCCTATTTATAGGAAGAGGAGAGGACAGGCTCCGGCGATCCAGCATGGCCGTCACGTGGCAAGCATGCATCGGTCACCACCGAGGTCGTGTAATATCTCGCCACGCGGTGGTGCTGTCCTGGCTGACTTAGGGACACGAGGCCAGACACATACCGATCGGGGCCCGAGCGGATGACGATCGGGTGCGGGACACATCTAGCCCGCGATAGTCTCTCCTTCGGCACGGGCGATCGGATGGGTCGGTCGGGAAACCGCTCGGACAGCAAATCTGAGGCGGTCTTTCGTGGTCCAGCCGGTCGGGACGTGGCTACCGACCGACACCGAACGGACAGCTACGAGTACCGAGGGTATATTCCTATTATTACTCTTGTCCCGAGGGTAATTGAGCTGTCCATGCGAACCTTTTAACGGAGTAATGTGACATGAAGGTTTAGTACTTTTGTGGACCGACCAATTTATGTGAGCCGACTCGTCCCATGAATGTTATTATTGCTGTATTATGCGATAGCAATGTGACATTAGAACCACTGCACATTAATTGCTAATAATAATTGAACGCAGCAAGAATCCCATTGATTGTGACGGCGCATACACTCACTCCCCTTCCAATTTCATATAACTAATGTTATCAAATGCTATGGCTTTCATTAATTTATCTGATCTTATCACCTACTGCCATAATTTCTGCCATCTAATGCCAACAAACCCTGTCGTTTTCTTGCTGCTTTCTTGCGTTGAATGTTGATCACCCAATTGCACATCTAAGTTATACATCCCATAAGAGCAAAGTTGTGTTTACGCTTTTTGGTGGTTTGTAGTACTGTCTAATTAGCTCGATAATTATAATAATAGGCTTGAGAATTAGGGAGTAGTTTTTTAAAGGATTGACTTGAGCCTAACTAAGGGTCCGTTTGGAAAGCAGGAAAATGACTTCTGAAAAATGTTTCTCTGGAAAATTAGTCATTTTTCGAAAAACATTTTCATTTTCAGTGTTTGGTTGCATTCTGGAAAACTATTTTTATGTGTTTGGTTCATTTTCTGGAAAATGAGTAGAATTGTATAATTAAACATTTTAATTATTTTATTTAGAATATTACAACATTTATAATAATATATAATAATATAATAATAATTTTAAATATAATTAAAAAATAACTAATAATATATCAAAAATATTATGGTGTTGGTGGTGGTGTAGTGGTAGTGGTGTTATTTGTTATATAATAATAATAATAATAATAATAATAATAATAATAATAATAATAATAACTGGTGATGGTATGACGGTGGTGGCAGTGGTGGTAGTGGCGGCGACGGTGGTTGCGGTGGTATGGTGGTGGTGGTGGTGGTGGCGGCGACGGTGGTGGCGGCGATGGTGTGATGCTGGTGGTGTGGTGGTGGTGGTGGTTGCGGTGGTGTGGTGGTGGTGGTGGTGGTGGTGGTGGTGGTGGTGGTGGTAGTAGTGGTGGTGTTATGGTGTTGGTGGTGTTGGTGGTAGTAGTGGTGGTGTTATGGTGTTGGTGGTGGTTGTGGTGGTAGTGGTTGCGGTGGTATGGTGTTGGTGGTGGTAGTGGTGGTGGTGTGGTGGCGGTGGTTGCGGTGGTATAGTGGTGGCGACGGCGGCAGTGGCAGTAGTGGTGGTGATGATGGTAGTGAGGTGGTGGGGGTATGGTGTTGATGATGTTGGTGGTGGTGTGATGTTGGTGTAAAAGTTTCCCCCAAAAAAAGGGGAAGTCATTTTCCTCCAAAACAAGCCTATTTTCCAAAGTCAACGGAAAATGATTTCCGTTGACTTGATTTTCCAAGCACATCCAAACAGTGAAAACTTGGAAAATGATTTCCAGAACTCATTTTCCAGGTTTCCAAACACACCCTAATTGTGAAATGTGAAATGTGAGATATCTCGGTCGGCTTAACTTGACGTATAAGAGATTTCTTAGCAAACTAATGCTCACAATAATAAAGAATAAGTTGATTTGGCTAATTTGAAAATCTCCTAGTTACCTCAATTTGCCTTGCAAGAGTCAATTTTGCCAATCGACACTTATCACACTAAGGCATCCTCAATAGTTGATATTTTTTTTCCAGTTTTTATGGGTCCCAACATCCACTCATCATCGACTATTTCACTTAATTACAAAAACTCTTCTCCACATTAATTTTAGGTTTTTTCTCAATTTTTTGTAGACTTATCATTTTACCCCCACTATATTTTAATTATTTCTTTATATATTATCATTCTAAAAATTATAATTATAAATTTGATAACCATATTATTGATAATTATAAATTTAATAATAATATTATTGATAATTAAGAAAATTTAATTTAATTAATAATTATAAATTTAATAACAATATCAAATTTAAAATTTTTAAAAATTAATTTTTTTTAAAAAAAAACAAGAATGTTAATAAATTAAATTAAAAATATTTAAAATAAAAAATAAATAAATAAACAAAAACAAGAAGCTAATTAAAAGCCCCAACAGGCGCGTGTAACTGGTTGGCTGTGAGACGCAAATGCGTTTTACTATTATTTTTTAAAAAAAAAATTTGACAAAATCTCCATTTTGCAGGAGTAACCTACACTCACCCTCTTATGTACTCTCAAATTCTACTCCCTCACTTTTACTCCCGGATAATTAACATGATAGTGTGATAAGTTATTTTCATCATATGAGTCCCAAAGAAAATGTCTATATAAAAAATTTAAGAGTAAAAATAAAATTTAAAAGTAAAACTTTGGAATCCACATAATAATTTCCCATATAAATCCAACTTGTGTCAAGTAATTGTCATACGAAAGTGCGTGGAGAGGAAGTCACGGCTGGTGAAGAAGCTTGAGAAGCACGAATGCTGTGATTGGTGGTGGACTATACTATGGCCTTGTTTGGCAATCAGCGGTTAGCTATTAGCGTTAGCGGTTAACAAATAGTGGATTAGATTAGTGGGTTTGACTAGCAGATTGTATCAGCGGTTTGTAAAAAAAGACGTTTGGTAAAATTAGCTGTTTAGAATAGCGATTAACATGTAAAATAACCCATAAGGACATTAGTGTAATTTTTTTTATTATTATTGGTAATAATATTATAATAATTATAACTATATAAAAATTATTAATTCAAATGAGCAATACATTTGAAATTGAATAAAATAAGTGTGAGTATATGCCACCAAATTAAAAAAAAAATGTAACTGTATGATATTAAATTTAATTAAGAATTAAATAAAGGGGGAAAAATAGCTAGCTTTCAAAAAATAAAGGGGGAAAATAGCTATTAAATTTAATTATAGGAATGCAAAGTTGCATTTTGGATATATGGAATGAGGCATGCAGCAAGTCATCCTATATGAAAAAAAAAAAAAAGAGAGAGAGAGAGAAACAAGGGCAAAATTGAAATTTAGAAAATAAATGGAGAAAAGCTAATGCTAAACGCTGCTCCTAGTAGCGTGTCAATTTTAGCGGATTGGACAGCAATTCGCTAAGTGAAAAAACCATTAACCAAACGTCTTCTTTAGCGATTTGAAAAAGTCAAACCGCTAAAGATGGTTAAATCCGCTAAAAAATGGCGAATAAACTGATAACCAAACATGGCCTATGAGTCTATGAGTTCTTGACGGGGAGATATATTAATATTAATATATTAAATATATACATATATCATATATAGATTCACAGTAGTGGTTTGAATAAAGGAGGAATAGGATGTTTGTTAACATACAATACAGCTGTGTTGAAGTGGGCCCCTACATTCCGGTCCACCTCCCAAACCCCCTTTTCCGGTCCCTGGTTTGACTAGGTGCGTGGCCAGAACACGAGTCTCGCTTCGGGACGATATGATAATGTTGCGTGTTCTGTAGTTTATGCCGTACCACCACCCTACTAACTATCTATCACACACCTTACCTTTTTCAAAAGTTAGTTACGTTGTTGCTGTTTCTAGGCTTGACCGCTCTACTTTTGGAACATCATCGGATCGGATCGGATCTCATCTCGTTTCTTGACTATTCCTCAGCTGGGAAAATGTTAGAGATTGCCAAGTTTCTTTGTGTTGTTTATTGAGTGAATTCAATGAAAAGAAGAGAACAAAAGATAATGCATGGATTGTTATTTATTGTTAATGGTAAAATGATGCTGAAATTGTTGTTTGTTAC